TGGTCAGGCTTGAACTTGGATTAAATATTATATGTAAAAACAAAATAATCTTTTACTCATATCAATTAAAGAAAGCTATGTGGTACCGTCTTCCAAAGTTCCAGCACATATAGTTCACTTGTAAGACTATCGTAATAGGAAATTCCAACTCTGTAACAGTTCTTGTAATGACAGAAACATGGCTCATCAGGCAAATACCCCTCCCCTAACCCTGAAAACAAACAACCTAAAGTGGCAACCATGCATTCTTGCAATAGAAGAGTAAGATTAGTGCTATATATTTTTACAGAATCAGCAGGTATACCTAAGGTATGCCTGGTGGGCTTGTTTATGTTCTAGAGGGAGAATTATACAAGGAAAAGTTAGTTTATGCAGCAGACTGTTTCTTAGGGTGTGTACGTGTCGGATCAGGGGCGGATCGAAGGATGGTTGAGAAACATGCACAGTTATCCTAGTCCCTCATCTCCGTCTAGATAAATACAAATCTGATTTTTTGCTCTTTGGACCATGTTTAGGCTTTTGCCATTTGTCCAAAGACCAAAAAATTGATATGTATGCATCTAGACGGAGATGAGGGTCTAGGATAACTGTGCATGTTTCTCAACCATCCTGTTTCAGTCCGCCCCTCATCCGACACATACAACCCTAAGAAACAGTTTGCTGCATAAACTAACTTTTGCTTGTATAATTTTCCCTCTAGAAGATAAACAAGCCCACCAGGCATACCTTGTTGATTCTGTAAATATATAGCACTAAACTTACTCTTCAAGAATGCATGGCTACTACTTTAAGTTGTTCGAGTGTTCAGGGTTAGGGAAGAGGTATTTGCCTGATGTACCATGTTTTTGTCACTACAAGAAATGTACAGAAACTTAATGCTAATATATTTCTTCTAAATATTTGGCATATACCTGCCACGAAACGGTTACTCTATTTAACTTGATAAAACTACCTTCTCTGGTGGAAGATCAATGCCAAGATTTCCACGGGAAAGGATAATACCAGCTGCCTCTTGCAAAATCTCTTCAAAGCGAGTTAGACCCTATAAAGAATTAAGATGTCAATGGATATAAACTCCAACTTAAACTCAACCTCTAGTCATGAATAGAACTGGCTTTGAAAAAACATGAACAAAATCCAAATAAGCAAAGACAATCACCTCTATATTTTCAATTTTTGCAAATATCTGGGTTTGACTAAGTTCGCCAAGCTTAGAAAGATATTCACGTGCCTGCAGTAGCAAACCAAAAGGTTAAACATGTTACCGTCAAAATGCTCGGAATAGCCAGATAATATAAGTGAAAGCAATAGGAAATATGAATAAAAAAAATAAGGGCATCTGTAAAAGCACACTTACTTCACGAACATCTTGCGCATGGCGCGTGTATGACAATGAGAGAAAGTCAATTTTGTTTGCAACCCCCCAAGTGCTAATGTTCTGAAATAGGAAACAAATTCATCAAAGGCACTATTCCAACTCATATTTGAATGCTGAGGATCCAAACTAAACCATCTGATTAACAATCCTTTTAGTAAATTATAGAGGAACTATTTATAAAAAGGGTTAATTGCACCAACTAAAAATGATTTTGTCATTATCCTTTAAAGTTGTCTTAAAAGCCATCCAACTTATGATAACTTGTTATTGAAACCTGATAAATGCTTAGTAAGATCCGGTTGGCCGATAGCACAAAATGATGTTCAACAAAACATGGTGCAAATGTTTCTGGACATTAATCATCAGCCACTAGGTGTTGATTTTTCATAAGACTGAATGAAAAGGTGTTGAACAAATAAGAAACCTAAACAGTATTTGACAAGGGTGACGAACAACCATGTTAACCTTTTGAAATATTTGAAAGATGTTTGACAAAACCAAATGGTAAATCCTAAGAAATTGTATCACAGCTTGAAAACAACTTTAGATGTAACTAAATAACAAAATCAACAAAACCATCACAGTAATAGTTTGAGTACAACTCTTAATTTGATGTGCAATCTTTGATTTACGTATTATTTTGATTATAGTTGAATAAGTACAATTTAAATTAAATTAAGAAAGTTGATGTGTAAAATAATGAATCAGATACAAGTAACAAAAATAATTCAACTAGAAATCTAATGTAGATACACAAACGCAACGAGTAGAAGTAATCAAAATAATTTAATAAAAATCCCATGTGCAAGTAAGATTCATAAATATATATATATATATATATATATAATTTGATTACATTATAAAAGACTGTAATTTGGTAAATAACAAATTCTAACTACTAGAATACAACATAAGATTCTTAATTTCATTACAATTCTTTTTATTAAAATGTATCCAAAATAGAAAATATACTAGTCGATTGTACATGCAAATATAGCAAAGCTCTTTAGTTCAATGGTTGGCCGCTATGTACTTATGATTAAACATCAAAAAATTTATTTGATTAAGTAAGAAGCCTTTAGATGCGATCAACAACCAAGACATCTGAATGATTTAGAGGTTTCAGACCATTCAGACCCATAAGGTTAATAAACAGCCCCTCCGTGAGGAGCTGATAGAAACCATAATTATCAAGCAATATCCATCACCTTTTGAGAGAAAAAAACGAAATATCAAAATCCATAAACTGAACCTGAACCAAAAGGCTCACCTCTTTATCTTTATCAGTGAGAGTAGGCAGATCAATATGAATCTGGGAGGCATGGAGAGTGAACAATGCCCCAGCCAGAGTAGCAGAATTCTTTATCTTGCAATCAACATCGTCCCCTTCCACTTTATCAACCTGCTCAAGTCCAATAATGAACAAATCATACTTGGTTTTCTGGACAGCATTTATACTTTCAAATGTTATTTTGCATGTGTCTGATTACTATGGGTTAAGAATTGGTAAAAGGCATATGTTTCAATTATCAAACAAGTACAGCAGCATTACACGTGCATGTCCACTTCTAACTCGTTCCAGGAAGCAAAAACTAACTCAGCTTAGATGAGCAACAAAAGTTGTGCTACATCTTTTTTAAATAAGAGAAAAAAGAATGCCTTACCTCCAGCCAAACAGAGGTTGTTTCACTTCCTGTGAACAAGTACTGACCAACAAAAATGGTGTCTCCCTTCTTCACAGCCTGCAAGGACCACAAACAGTCTCATAAGCATAGAGGAGCGACTAAAAAGGGGGTCGGGATAACTCATCAATAATTTTACACTTACGGTACTAAGAGTTAGCACATACACACTTATGTCTTAAACAATCATATAGGAGTACCAGCATGCAATATTTCAAGAAATCTTATGGATTTTTTTAGTGAATTATCAACATTGGATAATAATTGGAACTTAAACATTTCAGAAGCACTAATGATTTACCGAGCTACAAACTTTCATAGTTTCCTTGTGACAGGGATCGGGGAGGACATCAGTTTATCAAGATAAAGGTTAAAGGCAATATAGACCTAGAACAAATATGTATACATCAACGAGAAGGCAAAAGCGTTCTCACCTTAGCTAGTCCATCAAAGTTGATTGGCAATACTTGAGAAGAAGCTTCCTGACCTTTGTCAGGGGTCAGAATAACATTATCATCCTGTTGAAGGGAAATGGCCTTCTCGCTCTTATTCACAACCTGCATCTCAGCGCCAACTGTATCGAGCATCACCTAGAGCAAAAGGAATCGTCGCCAGTTTTAGACAATCTGTGACTATCTTGGTTCTTAATATGTTTCAGAGAGAGACTTGTAGTTACATTAATAAGATAGGCATCAAAACTAGATAATTTTCGTAGATGCTATCTAACTTTACACACAACAAAAGGGGCAACCACTTTAGTCATAGCTCCAAAAATTAAGGAGATACTTGTATTTGTATTTGTAAGCGACTCTGCCATTACTTCGGAATGCTTCAGGGGCTTCATTCTTTGCCTCTTGGAATAAATATTTGACAACATCAAACCTCTAGAAAATGGATATGTATATAAGTACACACACACTTGTACACACATTAAACGTAACTTTGGCTATAGTTTATCAGTTAGTAGTTCTTCCGTTTGCTTATGAAGAATCATTATTTTATTACTCCCTCCATCCCACAATTAGTATCCACTTTGCAAATAAAAGTAGCTCCAACATAGGTAACCCAGTTGTATAAGACGACCCAAGGTCCCTCAAGATTACCACTTAAAACAACATGGTCTAGTGGAAAACAGCAACTACCTTTAATTATTTCTATTACTTTCTTGCATGAGTGTGGGGATGAAGCTAAAACCAAGAAACAAACTTGCCTCTGGTGAGTTACGATCCCTCAAATCTCTCATGTGGGGGAAAGTGATATACACAGGTTGACCTAAATGTAGGCCACCTATCTTGTTACATTAAACAATCACTTTGCTATCTATTGTAGAAGACTTAACAGAAAAAGGGTAAAAGGAATTCCAACAGCACACTCTTACTCACAGAATCAACAGAAGATTTTGTGGCCATTTCTTCTTATTAAGTCGATCAATTGAAATAGGTTTAAGATAACGAATAAAGAATGAAAAAACTTACAGCACAAAGTTTCTTGGTGCTCCTGACGGCGGTCCTCAGATTATCCAAAGTTTCTTGGTGATACTCTGAGTCTCCCCATGAAAAATCAAATCTAGCCACTGCCACATCCACATGAACCAAACCATCAAAAAAGCCATCACATTTATCGACATAAACAAATTTCACTTGCTCCTAAATAACTGGAGTTGCTATAATTCTGGAATCAAAGACACGGCTTTCAAACTTCAAATTGGTGCAAATTGCAAGTTTTTTTTCAGAAACAGAAAATAAAAACAAACATTAGAATGAGTACTGAAAATAGAAAATTAATGTTGGTGTAAATTTGCAACAAAATCCATATTCATATTTTCCTGGCCTCTAAAAAATATAAGATTTGGCATCACTTGCAAAAAGTAGCTCCTAGTCCACAAGACTATAAGAGCATTACAAATCTTCAAGTCGACAAAACGAATCAGTACCACACAAACATAAAAAAAATAAAGATGACATCAATGAAGAACAAAAAACATACCAGACATGCCAGCTTTGAGGCAACCAGAGATAACCTCCAAAGATCGCGAGCGAGGGCCTAAAGTTCCAACGATTTTGGTCATCGCGGGGAAGAAATTCTGCAAATACGTAAAACAAAATCGCAAATGTTTCAGAAATTCTAGATCGTTAATCTTCAAAAAGTAATGCACATATGAAGTAAGATTCCATGAGTAAAATCGAAACTTAAACAAGAAAAAAACACAAAAACAGATCCATGGAATTGAAACTTCTTGTACTTACAGCTTTAGACGGCTCGAGAATGGATGCCATTCTGATAGGTTCTTCAAGAAGCAAGTGATTAGAGTGCATTTTGACTGATGAACAGCAACAACACTTCGAAAATGAATCGAAAGAGAGAGTTTACAGGGAGAGAGAATAGAGGAGGAAAGCTGCGTGAATCTGGTAGAGAGAGATTTGGTAGAAAGAAAGGGGAGAATATGGTTTGTTCTTAAAACACATGAAAAACGAAAGCAGGAGAACCCGGTTTTCTTTAAAACCGGCTACCCACTTTCGTCCTCCCCAAGCCACTTTTGTTTTCCTTCCACGTCTTTTAAAAATTTAATAAAAATAAAAAAACTGTAAATAAATATTTTAAACTTTTATTTAAAGGGTCGTTTATCAAACACTTACCCGATAAATGTTTACCGGTAAAATCTAACACTACTATTTACTTACCAGATAAAATTTTATTCCACCAAAACGATATCATATGCAACAATTTACCCGATATGCGCTTACCATGGTAAGAGAAGTCGTCTTCACTTACCGGGTAAAACTCATGATCTTTGTGAGTAAGATTCTTGATCCTTACCATATTCATCCGGTAATGTGATGTCACTTGGTAAATGTTTACCCGAATAAGTTTTTGATAAACAGCCCCTAAGTCTAGAAGGACCGAGTTTTTCGGACTTAAATATATATATACACTATAATATCATGCCATAATTTTAATCCATACAAAATATCAAATTTTGATTGTGAAAAAAAGAGATGTCTTGTCATGATTTAGAATGCATTTAACATTGATTTTTTAACTATACTATCAAATGCTTTCTATTAACTTAAAGGTTGTTTTATTTACTTTTTAATAATTTTATTAAGAGGTGAATCTTGTTTGTTAAAAAAAATTGTTTCTTAATGTTTTTAAAACCCTTTGAATAATTTTGTATCATAAGTATCCCTTAACCATTCAGCACTGTAATTCCATTATAAACAGTTACCGAATAATTATATTTCATTTTGTATTATATCATAAAAGTCTCTTAATCATTCTGCATCAAATCATTTAGCAACTGTCAAACAACCCCTTAAAGTAAATCAAAAATCTTCTTTTATTTCTAAAAAGAATAAATATAAGACGTAATTTGAAAAAGGTTGGTATAAAATCGAACCCAAAATCTTTATCATGTAAAATATAAAACAAAATTAATTATAAGTCTAACGTGTTCGGGTTTGACCACTTGACGAGTCAACATCGAGGTCCCAACTCCCAAACACCCTCCAACTCCCAAAGGGTATATAATTTCTGTGGGTCGTCTTATCACCAAAAGCCAAAAGACAAAAGATGGAATATATTATTATATTATTAGAAGCGTATTCGTGCAATGCAGCGAGATACATCATGATTTTAATATTTTATTTTATTTTTTATCTCAGTCGATGTTATAATATGGCTTTATGTGATTTTGTATTTATACAAATTCAAACATCGAGCTTGTATAAGTTGTATTTATGCATAATTACTTGTAATCTTGAATTTTAA